AGATCGGTGGAACATTGGATCATGTAGGCCATAGATCTTCTCTTTTTCTTTACATTATAATTTTTTTCATGTCGCCGATATACGTTCATTATATTTTGTTCGTTTGTTTGTTTGTGTTCCTTCTTCTTCTTTCTTCTTCTTCTTCTTCTTCTTCTTCTTCTTCTTCTTCTTCCCCTTTCTTTCCTTTCTTCTTCTTCTTCTCCTTCTTCTCCTTCTTCTTCTTTCTTCTTCTTCTTTTCTTTTTTTCTTCTTCTTCTTCTTCTTCTTCTTCTTCTTCTTCTTCTTCTCTTCTCTTCTTCTTCTTCTTCTTCTTCTTCTTCTTCTTCTTCTTCTTCTTCTTCTCTTCTTCTTCTTCTTCTTCTTCTACTACTACTACTAATAATCTACTATACTTAAGCCCAGGGCGGTACGCAGGATTTTTTCAAGTGGGGGGTTTTAACATTTATAAATCGGGCCGAAAATTTCGCAACGACTCAGCCAGCCGCTGAATAAGCGGGGGGGGGGGGGGGGGGGGGGGGTAAGAGGACACTTTTTTTTTTTTTGGTCAGGTCAGGTCAGCTTTTTTAGGTCAACCATGGGAATATTTTTTTTTTAAAATCCAAAAAAAAAATCCAAAAAAAAAAAAAAAAAAAAATCCAAAAGGGGGGGGGGGGTGTTTTAGAAAAATTTAGGGGGGGGGGGGGGGGTGTTTACACACAAAAAATTACCAAAGGGGGGGGGTTAACCCCCAAACCCCCCACCCCCCCCCCCCCCCCCCCTGTGTTCGCGCCTGCTTAAGCCCCCCCCCCCCTCCTCCTCCTTCTTCTCCTCATATCGCTCTCACTTTTGTATCATTATGTTGTCGTTATTGTTCTTATTCGTCATCTTCTGCTTCTACTTTGGATATAGGGCCTACCAATATTCTCATCGTTTTGGCAGCGAGACAAGTAGGAACACTTATGGCAGGCTTTGCCTCATTTACCACACGGGGCACATATGGGTATAGTTTGTACTTCAAAATCAATTTTCCACTTCCAATCTTATTCAAACATTGATCTAACTATACTGGTCTACTGTCATGACTGTTTTTATCAAGAGAGTGAATATATTTCCGGCAAGATTGGCTATACTATGGGACCTTGGACAGCGCTAGAGAAAATAACACTATTTGCTTATATTTTAACATAGAATTAAAGGTTGCGTATCCTTTTGCAACCAACATCAAATTCTGTAGAACTTTGTAGGAAAAATTAATACATCACGTATGTCCTATCTGTGAAATTGAAACGTTAGCAGTGTCCTAGTATTCAAATTATGCAAGGAAACCCGTATACTTTCTAGATTTAACTGTCAGCCACTATTGAGTGAATGAGTGACTACTTTTTTTCTTTGTTATTAACATACCTTAAACTAGCTGTAAAGTGTGCATTTCATGTATGCCAATCAATAACCCACTTCTTGTAATAGCCAACATGAAGCTGATTGAATCTTTGCGTATATCACAAAACGTTTCTACGCATAATTTTTGGAACGCGTTGCGAAAATTCCTAACAAAAAAGGGGCACCTACAAAGGGAAACATTAAAACAAAGACTGAAAAGTTAAAAGTAACATAAGTATAACATCTATAAATGCAAGCGAGCGTAACGATCGAGTTCTAGGGAAAATTATAGAAAAAGGGGCTCTAAGTTGCCTTGAATAGGGGTGCATGTTAATGGAGAAAGGAAAAATAGGCACAAAAGTGAAAAGGACAGTTATTAGAAAAGAAAAGGTACTCGTGTCAAAGTATAAAGGGCAACTAACAGAGTGAAAATGGGGAATCTTTTGAAGGAAAAGGGCACCTATCAGAATTGTAATAGTGGCATTAATCAGATGTTAAAAGGGGCATTTTGAAAAAGGAGGGGCTCATATAAAAAAAGAAAAGGGGCAATACAAATTATCCGAGGGAAATATGGTACTTATGATAAATCCAAAGGGGCACGTGTCACAATAAAAGAGGCACTTATTTAAAGGTGAACAGTGGCATTTAAGAGAAAGAGAAGAGGATTCTAATTACGAAGGAGAAATTGCACTTATAAAAAAGGAAAAGAGTCAAAGTAAAAAAGGGCAAAACTATCAGAGATGACAAGAGAGAAAACGGACAGTTATTATAAAAAAAAGGAGCACTTATCCTGTGTAAAAAGGGGGCACTTTGGGATGCCTGAAAAACTGGGGACAAGTGCCCCCCCCCCTCCCCGACTGGGAGTGCCGTCTCTAGCATAGGCCTAATTGGCAAAAGTGAGAGAGAAAAAAATCCAGGAAAATTATGTCATTTCAGTAACGTTTGTAATTCACTGGTATCGAATTAGAAATAAATCACGTTTGAATTTTATTAAGGGTGTCAACAGCCCCACAGCCCCCCCCCATCCCCGTCAGTATGCCAGTGATAAATATGATGATAATTATGATAATAAGAATAGCAATAATTATAATAAAATTAATTTGAATTCAATAGCGCCAAGATTAGTAGAGGAATGTTTTCAGATGGGTTTTTTTCTTGCAGAAGTCAAGTGAAGATTATTTTGACGTTGATCACAATAATTATACCATTATACGTGTAATAACGCGGATAAAATCCCAATGCTTTCGTGTATAGGGAAATCAGTCCCGAGACCGATCTCAAGGACAAAATCAATCGGCAAGATTGCTTTCGTTGAAGAATCCTTGATAGTGTGTCTGACAGGTAGCACGGTAACCCTTGACACCACAACGGTCCAATAGCCAGATTAAAATTGATCATTCTTTTCAAATAGCATTCGATTAATCCACGTTCAGGTCAGTTGATCGTGTCTAGCCTGTAGTTGTTTTTCTGGTGGATTGGGCGGGGGGGGGGGGGGTCCTAAACAGTATGTTCACGTTTTTTAAACATGTATCATTGCATTTATATATATTATATTGGCAGCTGGCTTTTTAACATGCTTTATTAACAACCCGCCGTGAACTTCTAGCTTCATTCTGCTTCCCCTATCCCTCGTGCACAATCTATATAAGAGGGACGCCAGCTCATCGAAACAGCATCCCCCCTTAAAAAAAAAATGTAAAGTACCGTTGAACTAACACATAACGATAGGGCCTGCAAAAAAGATAGTGATCTTTACCGTAACCACCCGCCCATCTTCCATGTTATGTCTGCCCCCATCCGACCTTTCCCTTCCCCTATTCATGCACCATCAATCTAAAGTGACGCCAGCTCATCGACGAAGAGCTTAAACGGCTAGCTCACTTTCACTAATGGCACTTGTTGTAATACCCAAAGTTCTGCTGCTGATTGAGTAGTCTTACGCACTCTCTGTGCCTCCCGCCCTCTCCGCCATAGTGCATGGAGGATAACCCATCACTGAGCCTTCGACAAACATGTATCAATGACTGAATAGCTAACCGATGACTGGTGAGTGACAGATGAAGCTCCTTTATACCAGAGAGGGATTCAAAGGATGATAGAAGGATGTCTTCACAAATAGCAGTCTGCCAGGTCAGACGCGACATATTTCATGGTAAAGCGACCCGCCAGAATATCTGCTTAGTGCCGTAAAGGCGTTAATTTATATAATAATTAAACAAAGCGTTCACACCCTGCTGGATCCCAGAAAAAAATAAGGAAGACTCTATCAAGTACCAACTAATACATTTTGTAACTAAACCACACTATATGAAGGACGGTATATCTAAATGGACTGTTCTTACATCCCCCTCCCCCCCCCCCCCCCCCCCCCCCCCCCCCCCTCTCTCTCTCTCTCCCTCTCTCTCTCTCTCACACACACATCACTCACTTGCCCCCTTTTTTCTCTCTCGCTCATACTCATTCCCCCTGTCTCTCTATTTTTTTTTCTCTCTCTCTCTTCCTCCCCTCTCTCCCAAATTTCGAGCCATTCTTGCAGATACCAGTGAACTTCTCTTTTAATCATCATCTAGCTCTATCTGCAATGTTGACCTTTGACCTCATCTTGCTGTTATTAATCAGGTGAAGTGTAGCATTCGATCCTCCACTTAAACTGAACATTGAAATCGAATTGAATTAGAAGCTCAGCTATCTTCATCGACCACTGTGACAGTAAATAGGTCGAGTTCTTAAGACCCAAATATCATGTTCTGATACTCTCTTCTCCCCCCCCCCCCCCACCCCCATGCCTCCCCCTCAAAATGTACAGGTTTTTTAAACATTGATTTATAAGTAAAATGCATAAAAGAGATGAAGTTTGTTCTTGTTATTGTGTACCATGGAACCAAAGGTCTCAACTCGTTCTGTTGTATACGCTCTAGCGCCATCTGCGGCTACAAACAAGAACGCAATCGATCCACTCTTCTTTTATTTTTATCAGGCCTGTTTTTGTTGTTGATGTTAGAGGTATAATTATGACTGTCCATAATGCGTCTTGTCCAAATTAATGTATCAATAACATTACATTGCATTTTCACAGAATAGTAATATCATGACAATCAGTGTGACAATCAATGTAAATGTACTTCTCTTAACCCTCTCTCTTTCGCTCTTGTCCTCTTCCTTTCCTTATTCCTTTCTTTCTATCTTTCTCTCTCTTTCTTTTCTCCCCCCCCCCTCTCTCTCTCTCTCTCTCTCTATCCCTTCCTTCACCCCTCTTCAGATCTTCTTCTCATAACAGGGGGGGGGGGGGGAGGGGGTTCATATATGATTTATATGCATTATTGTTGTTATAACTAACATTCTCTTATTTTTACTAGAATTTGTCACACCTGTTGCTATGCCCGATATCCTGATATTAATCATCATGATAAACCTTTATTGATGCCCTGGATTATTTCATATGCCCAATAATGTTGCATTTTTACTGATATTAATGTATCATTACTCATTCATGCATCAACTTTATCTATTATGTTTGTCAACAAATCTGTAATTTCGACCATCTGCCCACAAATGATTATCGATATACCTTTAAAATGAATAAATATATAAAATAAATAAATTGACAAGACTCAAGAAACATGCTTTTTGACAACAATAAGTACACTGTATAGCTCATATATTATGATAGTAAAATAGTGATATGATAGAAGAATGCCATGAAGTGTATAACGAATGTAATTTGATTGTCAGATAAAAATTGAAAAAAGTAGTAATATGCAAAATAAAAGCAGTCTAGATCTTTTAAAACATACAGAAATTATACAGTATATAGTCCATAGGTCTCTAATTGCATAAATATTTATAGATTGAGGTGCATAGTACGTATATATTACTATAAAACAAGTCTATCACAATAAAAGACATATACAATGTAATTTTCAATATAAAATAACTCCATAAAATCATAAGAGTCATGATAGAATGAAAAATAAATAAGTGGAAAAGGTTACATCTCAACATGTATTCAATGAAAGAACTAAAATGAAAAAGAAATAATTAAGGCACATAAATAAATTCATGTATTAAAACGTAGTAGAATAATTGCTTTTAAGGTCATATTTACCTTACCCTATATGGGGCCACCAGAAATACAAACTTACTGCCTAAAATATGGCTGGAGAAAATGATTTTTCTTAAAATGTGCCATTGGAATTGTTTTATAAACAGTCAATCCCGTCTATAGCGACCGCCCAAGGGAAACACAAAAAGTGGTATATGTAGACAGGTTCCTGTAGTATACATATTTCAATGAGAAACCATTTACAAGGGAAACAAAAATGTGGTCTTTGTAGGCAGGTGGTCACTAAAGCAGGTTTGATTTTAGTACTGAATAGTTTCATAATATATAAATTCAAAATTCCTGAACCCATTTTGAATTTCAAACAGAAAGACAGACTTTCATTGTCAAAAAAGATAGTTAGAAACACCAACAGCAATAGGGGATTCAGCCAACCAGTGATTTAAAATTCATACACAAGAATACACAGTCATTTTTTTAATATAAACATATGAAGATGGAAGATATTAAATCACAAGTTTTGTGTGGAATTACATGATATAGCATTCTTGTGCCCATGGAATTACATGACAACAAAATCACATATATGTAGAAGAACATGTACGAAGCTGGAATGTAGAAGTATCAAGAAGAAGAGAATCAAGCTAATTACAAGTGAGGTAAATGGGTACCTGGTAGGAAGAAATTCCTTGAATGCTTGAGCACAAATTCATTTTAGCTCGACTAAAGCCGGATTAATAATAGGATTGGACAACAGTATTAATACTGATGAGGCTGCACTGGGTAAACAAGACATAGTGTTATTTTTATTATCATCATTATTACTATTACATTTAATATGAAGTATCAACCTGATTGCAAAATTCATTATCATAATAATGTCAACTTATAAAGCGCACATATCCATTCTAAAAGACTGCTCAAGGCGCTCTGTACAATATCAAAATAATTGTAAGATATTAAAGCTACAACATTAATTTCACTATTTGGACACAAAAATCAATGCTGAATTATTATTTCACTACATGCATCTGGAAATTTCTGGTATACCTATACATATAGATCTCATCAGGCATTTTATCAACTTTGACATGAAGACTTCTGATAGCCATTTTGGATGAAAGTTCTGGACGTGTCTCTGAGGATATTTAACCTTTCGCTGCATAGAACTTTAGCGAATCTGGACCATCAGCAAAATTTATGAGAGTGTCATTCGCGCAAACATTTTGAGTTATACAGTACCTACATCTACTGGTGCACTCAAGGTCATTTTTGACAGGTTGATTTCTTAGAGCCATTTTAGATGAAAGTTCATGATGTGTCTTTGAGGTTTCCTCAAGTTAAAGGGTGTCATGACAATGACATTCCTACCGACTGGGTCGCTGATTGGATGGTGCATTGGAGTCTGGATAAGGTTTGTTGAACCATCTCCATGGAAACGCTACCGGTGTCATTCCGCATCATCTGAGATACCGTTGAGAAGGTATCTGTGCCTCCCGCTCCATAAAGTACACTCCTACATAGATTAAAATGTTTGTAAATGTTAGCAAAATTCAAGAGGACAGTGATCTAACATTAGCTCCTGCATTAGTTGCCCAGGGATTTATATGTTGTTGTTAATCAAAAACACATTTTTAAATTGTATAGCTCTCACCTCCAACAACAAAATCTCAGGGATCATATCTCAGAATTATCCCCATCCAGAGGAAAAAACGACCAGTGTATAAATCAAATGTTAATATAATGATTTTTGATTTAACAAGTATGGTTTATGAGAAGAATGATTTCAATACTATCAACAAAAAGAATACTACTTTGTAAAGCGAATTGTGGGTTGCTTTGATATTGCAAGCAAAAGAGGCTACTGGTATGTCAAATACTCTGGAATAGATTAGATTGGGAAGTCTACAGATACAGCATCAAAAGAGACGGTGAAAAGGAGCTACATCTTCTACTCACCCCATGGATCCTCCGACGCCGTTATCAATGAATGAACGCTCCATGTACATCAGACGACTGTTTACCATCGTCATGGTAATAGGTGAGTCTACAATGGAGTCTGATCCAATCACCTCCTCCAGACCCTGAACAGCTGTCATGAAACCTGTGGCTGCAGACCTCAACATGGCTGTCAAATCAAAACAGAGACATATTTTTGATACGGTTAAAAAGGCTTTATAAGCAAATGCAACCAGTACAGAAAGACCATCTACCTCCAGGTACAAAGAATCAATCTTGTGTTTACCTTGAGTGCTACATGTGTTTCTCAATGGAACATGCAGTATGGAACACATTTTAATCACAACTGCCAATACAGACTCCATTGAACAGTGTTCAGTAATGAGTTTTTAAAATATAGTAGGTGTACTATAGAAAGTCACCTTAAGTCCCTCTGCAATAGTTCAGCCAGAAGGGATTAGACCTCCATGTATGGTCACTGACAGGTGGTTATCTCATCAAATCAGCTCTCAATTATATAAGAAAAAGGGGAGCAGGTGGGACCAATGGTCACCGATTATGTATTGCTTGCTATATAGGGTGCAAGTAGCTTTAAGTAGTGCAGTGGGGCTTTAAATTAAAGATAATAACAAAGAAAATGAATGGTTTGAACAATATCTTTCCAATATAGAAAACCTGCCAGCCTTCCACTTGAACTGTCATCCAAAGACAGATATTTAAAAAAATACGATAATAATATAGCGCTTATACGTCGGGAATATCCAAGTTTTTTTACATTAAGAAACATTATTACCCTGGTCATCGGATTCTGGCTTCCCCGCACACAATGTATGCACTTTCTCCACTCTCTGCGGAGCATTCCAACAAGAAGTACTAGGCTCAAATTGCTAAGCATACCACATTGGCTTTCGCATCCTACCGGGTACCCATTTAACACCTGGGTGGAGAGTGGCAAATGTAGATCAATGTCTTGCCAAAGGACATTAGTGCCGCAGCGGGACTTGAACCATGGACCTTGTGATCGACAGTCCGGTGACGTATCCACTCGACGACGACACCTCTATCTATGTAAATCTATGGTGCTATCACAAATGAAATACATTGAAAGGGTTAATCGACTCACTCATCGTGTCATCTGAAGACATTGTTTTCCTCTGATGACATTCTACTGCTAAGAAAAGCTCCAATGTTATCTACATGGGCCATGACCGTGTCTGCCATTGCACCAGCATCTAGACCCAACAGCTCATTATCAGCTAAGGAGAGAATCACTTGAGTGCCAAGCTGCGACGATGATACGCCCATTATCATACCGCTGGCAGTTGGTAACATCTGATTAAATGAAGATTATCTTGTCATTTACAATGGACCAATTATTTGGAATAATCTCCCAACTAATCTAAAAAATAGTAAGACCCTAAAACAGTTCAAACGATTACTTAAACCACGGATATTAAACTCACATATCCCTGCTTAAACAACACCTACTGAACTCGTAATTATAATATTTTGTTGATGTTTCCTATCTTTTCTTCCTTATCTTTTTCATAAACTTTGATCTTTTTTGTTATGTTTTTGTTAAGTTTTTCCTGTAATAATTTGTTGATATTTTCTTACAATGTATAATATGTTAATTATGTACTTGTTATTTGTTAAGGGGTCATTTTCAACAAGCCAGTTTAGTGCTTTTTTATGACCCAGCCACTATTATTCATATGTATATATTATTGATTTGTAAATGTTTTTAAAGTGGAAATAAATTGAATTTGAATTTGAATTATAAAATGATAAGAGAATGGTTACAATATAGTGTTGTACAACACTTACTCCTGTGACAATAAGTCTGCATCAATTTCCTACAGTAACTAAAATCTCAACTTCACCCCTGGCCTATGGCACTTAACCCTAATCCTAAACCTAACCCTAATCCTAAACCTAACCCCTAATTCAATTGCAACGTCAACGTTAACCCTAAACCCCTCACGATATTAAATTTTCAAGCCCTACATCCCTCATAAGTTCTAACCATACTACTTACAGGGCTGTCAATATCCTGGTTACTCATGATCTCAATACTTGCTGAGGGAATACCCACTGTGTGTGAGAAGGGGACATAGTCACCAGACCCTCTCAATGCATCAAGGTTGACCATGGACGATATGCCAATCTGCAAAGAAACAAAAACAAGTTGGTAATAATGATAATCATAGCCTCAATTATTACTATGCATCATCATCACCACAATGATTATAGTTATCATCATCAGCTTCACATTGAAAACATGACAACAATCATAAACATTTGAACCATTTTATCACTGCCATCCCAACCTAAAACCATCCCTATCAGAACTATCACCATAAATCATCACCATCATTCTTAACTACCATCACCATCTATACCACCAGAACTACCACAGACATCTCTCTGCATTCATTATCAACATCCCAAGATCCACCATCCATATTGCCATTAACATTATCATGGTTAGCATCATCATCCAGATCCTCCCCATGGCTACCATCATCATCACCAAGGCTACCATCACCATCATCACCACAGTCATCCCTATCAGCACCATCATCACCATCATCATCACCATCACCACCATCACCATCATCACCACAGTCATCACTATCAGCACCATCATCACCATCATCCCCACCACCATCACCACCATCATCACCATCATCACCACAGTCATCACTATCATCACCATCATCACCATCATCACCACAGTCATCACTATCAGCACCATCATCACCATCATCACCACAGTCATCACCATCATCACCATCATCATCACTACCATCACCATCATCCCCACCATCACCACCATCATCACCACCACCATCACCACCATCATCATCATCATCACCACCATCACCATCATCATCACCATCACCATCACCATCACCATCACCACCACCATCACCATCACCACCATCATTACCATCAGCACCGTCACCACCACCATCATCACCATCATCACCATCACCATCACCATCACCACCACCATCACCATCACCACCATCATTACCATCACCACCACCATCACCACCATCATCATCATCATCACCATCATCATCACCATCACCATCACCATCACCATCACCACCACCATCACCATCACCACCATCATTACCATCAGCACCGTCACCACCACCATCATCACCATCATCACCATCATCATCACCATCATCATCATTATCAAGGCTACCATCGTCATCACCATCAGCACCATCATCATCAGCACTATCACTATCATCATCATCATCATCATCATCATCATCATCACCATCATCATCATCATCATCATCACTATCATCATCATTATCACTATCATCAGCACTATCACTATCATCATCATCATCATCACTATCATCATCATCATCACCATCATCACCATCATCATCAGCACTATCACTATCATCATCATCATCATCACTATCATCATCATCATCACCATCATCACCATCATCATCAGCACTATCACTATCATCATCATCATCATCACTATCATCATCATCATCACCATCATCACCATCATCATCAGCACTATCACTATCATCAGCACCATCATCATCAGCACTATCATCATCATTTTCATTACTATAGTTTTCTACCTGTTCAGCAGACTCCATGATAACTCCTCTCAGCATGGGTGATGTCTGTGTGTTGAGTACGGTACCACTTCCTCCTCCTGCTAGATCAATATAAGCTACAGCTCTATCCCTCAGAATCAATCGATTTTCCTGTAATACAAATTCACCATAATCATGTCATTTTGTTTCCTCTTTTGTAGGGTGGGGGAGGTGGGGACATTAATTTACAATATGTATTGCACCTCTTCTGAATCTACTCTGAATTAATAACAAAGTACTCTTTTTGTTTGTCTATAATTATTGGACACTATACTTTGAATTAATATCACAGAGTACTCGTTTTTGTTTGTCTATAACTATTGGACACTGTACAAAAATCTGCATCTGTATTTTAGCCAAGTAAGATTGTATAAGGTCAACGTATGAGTGTGTAGGAGCTGGTGGTTATATTTTGTATGTCCCCCCCTGCCTGTTCCATGTACAGTACAAGCAAATAAACATGAGAAAAAAAGAAAAAAAGTTTAAAATGTCTGTGATGAGAAACCTACCTCCACCCACTCTGTTGATCCCACTTGGCCGAACTCTGACCCTTCCCAAAGACCGACCATGATGGTACGTCTAGGCATCCATCCATCCTCCATCATCTCACTGATGACCCGAGCTGACTCCATCACCGCTGACGACGACCCTGGGGTCACCATGGAGGTCATCATGCTGGAGTAGTGACCTCCAAGCAAAACATACTCATCTGATGAAAAAAAAAAATTTAACAGTGATCTTGAGCTTAACTTACAGGAATGCTAGTAACATGTAACATATTTGACAGGTAGCCAAAGTATAGTTGACAGTGGAATTTGGTTCATTTTTATACAGAGATATATCATCTTTTTGGACATCTTAAATCACATTTTATTGCTTACCGTATATCACTAAAAAAAAAAAATATATAATATCAGAATTTTGAGTTATTGGATAAAAAGTGATTTTGTAATGCAGGTGTAGAATGCACTTCCATAGAGCCTGGCCTGAGTTATTTTTGGGCCAGGTGTGCAATGGTTAACAATAATGGATACATGTTCACGGCAATAAATGTATCAGCAAATGAATACACATAGGTAAATAAACCATACAACAGAATTCTGGAATGTGATGAATTATTACAACAATAATCATATACCTAGATGTTTTTTGAAGATTGTTTTTATAAAAAAAATGATATTACATTTTGGTACATTGTTACATACATGTATACCACATTTAGAAGATAGGATTTACTTCCAAAGAGCTTTGGATTATTACATCGACTCTAGCCATGCTGCCATAGGGCTCTCAAGCATTCAAAGAATTTCTTTCCACCAATACACACTTACCTCACCTGGGTTGAGTGAGGCAAATGTAGATCAACTAACTTAGCTATAGACTTACCCGGATACTCTGAGCCCTCTATGGTTGCTACTACATCGTAGATAGGCTTCTGAATGACGTCATTGTGAACATCTAATTCTACAAACCATGGCTGTCTGCCTGGAAAAGATGAAAACAAACAAAAAGATAGCAAAATAATAACAACAGAAGCAGTGATGATTATGGTGGTGGTGGTGATGATGTGATGATAATGATGATGACGATGTAGGTAATGATGATGATGATGATGGCGATGACGATGATGATGATGATGATGATGATGTAGGTGATGATGATGATGGTGATGACGATGATGATGATGATGATGATGATGATGATGATAATGGTGATGTTGATGATGATGATGATGGGGATGATGATGGTGATGGTGATGGTGGTGGTGATGATGATGATGATGATGATGATGATGATGGGGATGATGATTATGATGATGATGGTGATGTTGATGATGATGATGATGATGGGGATGAAAATGGTGATGGTGATGGTGGTGGTGATGATGATGATGATGATGATGATGGGGATGATGATGATGATGATGATGCCATGGTGATGTTGATGATGATGATGATGGGGATGATGATGGTGATGGTAATGGTGGTGATGATGATGATGATGATGATGATGGGGATGATGATGGTGATGATGATGATGATAGGGATGATGATGGTGATGGTGATGAGGGTGATGATGGTGATGATGATGATGACGACAACGACGACAACGATGACGGCAATGATGATGATGTAAATTGCAAAGTGAAAGAGATCAATGATTATATGTCTCCTTTAGCCAAGTTACCGCAATGTGCTCAAACAACCAAGGAATTTCTCCCTACTGTTTAGCCATGTTAATTTCTCCAGTTAGGCTTACACATCACATAAAGACTTTAAAAGAATAGCTCTTCGGTATCTGTTTTTTAGAAGGAAATATCAAATATTTTTAGTATCTAAATATTAGATTCAATTAGGCTCTCTTGTTAGTTTGTTTATTAGGTAAATAGTACCTCATTTCTTATCTTATCTTGTGTTCCTTTTTTTATGTGTTTTTATGTTACATCTGTATTACATCTTGTTTTCTTGACGGGTTGGCCTTTTACAAGGCCTATTTCCTTTTTAGCCACTGTCTGTCTCACTTTTTATAATTTATATGTATTGTCATATGTTTGTCTGTTTATATATGTATTTTTCATCTGTTAATCTATTGAGGAGAAATAAATGAAAGTTGAAACTTTAAAATAACTGCCTTACTCTCTCCTGTTAGACCTATATTATAGGTCACATTGAGACCTCCAATCCAGGAACCATCAGCAGGTATACCAGTCAGGTTACTCAACAACATGGCTGCTGTTGCCATGGACACAGGTTGTATGGGAATGCTGGGAAGGTCGACAGAGTTCATGGAAGCTCTGAAAATTCCATCTAAAGTGAGGGGAAATAGCAACAGGTGACTATAAGTGCATTGTCCCATATGCATAGGGTATAATTCAAATTTTAGAAAAAGTTTATTATAAGTATCTAGTGGCTCCTTTTTTATAGTACCGGTATCTACTTGTCTGATGTGGTCCCAAGTTTTATACACCTCTTGACTAATATCACAAAGTTTCAAAGATAAACATGAGCAACATGAGCAAAAAAGATTCTGAAAAACTTTTCAAAACAATCATTGGCATAGTTTTCTCAAGTGAAATATATTGATTTTACACCCTAATTGGCCTTGTGGCCACTGCTGGGAGAGGGGGGGGGGGATAAAAATATAAGATTAAATATACAGGTATAACCACTGCCCTTGAAATTACTATGGGGAAATGTACATGTATGTCTGCATTTCATCCTGTTGAATATGAATCTATTGGGTTTATAATGTTGCACATGCACGTAACACATATTTCCATAACATATAGATGTAATCGCGCATCCCCAGCCTAAGTACATACATTGTATATCAGGATGAGAATTAATCAGGTTGATTTTCATTATACAATACTTTTAAAACACTGACCTACAGCTGGACATCCAGGGGTCAGTGGGTCACCACTCATACCAGACATGTCAGGGGTCATCACAGAGGTCATTGGCATGTCAGAGGTCATGTCAATAGGGTCAGGGTAGAGAATAAGTCCAGAAATCCCATGACTTGCAGCAACTTTAGCCTACAAATAATAAAAAATGATGAAAGTGCATGCCTACATCAACAGTCGATTCATAAAGTGTTGATAATTTGCCTTATGAATGACCTGATCCAATGCCCTACTCTGTCCATGTTCCAATTCACTTGATCAGAGCAGGGAAAGAGTTAAATGATAGTTCCAAGAAGAACATATTCTTTGATGTTAATACCTTAATCACATAACTTCTATGCAAGTGCATGTATAAAGCAATGAACAGTCAATTTCAATTGTTTTGGAAAGTGTTGCTATACTTTTGCCACATTCTGTCTTATATGTTGGAGTTGGGGCAATTTGTGTGACATACCAGAAGCGAGAAACTATGTCTTCAGAAGTACTCAAGCTTCATGGTGAATCAATATTACGGACCCAAAGTATTTGTAATATTATATGAATATGGTGTTCATGTAACGCTGGTAAAAAGAGAAATGTGAATTAAGCAAAGACTTTGAAGAAAAGCAACTGAAATAAGAACGATTCTGGCAGGGCAGTACTATATTCATTGCATAAAAATGTTCAACAGATAATTTCATCTTCCATGTGTAGATGATCTCATACGGATGTTACATGGACACCATCATATTTTTTGCCCCGACTTTATGGAATGACCCACTGGTTACCTGATCTGTAGCACTACTCTGTCCCTGTCTAGCAAGACCAATCTTGCCTGACATAGCAACACCAAGATCTGTCAGAGCTTCAAAGTCTGCTTCTCGCCCAAAGTTCAGATACACAAGGTCCCCCTACAAAAGTAGAAATCAGATTCAAATGAGTTGTTGGCTAAAGAAAACAGGGAATTTCAAAGAAGTACATAATTAGGATAACTTAACAGTCAAATCAATTTAAATAAACTTAAAACTCTTAATGTTGATGGTGTGGGTTTGTATGCCACCACTGCCAATGCACAATAAAGACGAGACTTTCTGAGAAAACTTTAAATTCTTAATTTAAGACACAAATAACGAACTGAGGAAGGTAGATCACTACTAAGTAAGTGATGGCTAAACAAGAGTCCTTTCTTTAATGAATTTTTTTCTACCCTGTCATCATTTTAGTTTTGTCTCTTCAGAGTGGTCCACGAAAAAACAATCAAAATTAGAACATGGAAAAAGTATGACCTAATGCATGTGAAGCACGAAATGTAAGGGCTATGGTTCTTAGATACACTCTGTACAAACTGAGATATAATTTTTAAGGATTCATACAACAAATTAACAACTACTAATTCATATAGTAGCTGAGTTTCAAAAAAAGCACAATAAAATTCTAAACATGTTGCTGTTGTGGACCACTACGCTCTCACAGTCTCACTTCTTTTCTACCTCTGACTCCTAATATATACCAGGGAGTAGAGGGGGAGTTTTTGTCCCTTTTATTTTCCGTCTTGCTCTCTCTTCCTTTCTTCATCCCCTTTCTCTTTCACTCTCTCTATATATATCTCCCCTCTCTCTCCCCCTCTCTCTTTTGCAATCACATTAAATGGCGTACACCCCCCCCTCCCCCTGTGTACAATATAAAGATATGTAATATATTTACACAATTCATGGTATATATAGCTCATGAATGATTTACCTGAGCTGTCCCAGAGGCTGTATAGGGTGTATAAACAGGCATGGCTTGAGACCCTCCATTGGTCAGCACCATTGAATCCCCGCTGGTTCCAATAAGGACAGCTCCTTGGTCACCAAAGGCCACCTGATCGCCTGCAGACACCTGATCACCAGAGGACGACTGTGCAGGCCTCCCTGGAGCGATGTTATAGTCTGGCCCTGCGTCCTGTTGACCCCCGTAGAGCTGAACCATCTGTAGGGTATTCCCCTGGTAGTCCATGGAGCGTATGCTGCTTCTTTGGGTCATGTCCGGGTAGGAGAGAAGGACATTGTACATGGAGGTCGAGACCTTGAACCCCATAGAGGTCAGCTGAGTGACCAGGGTATCGGTCAGGTTACCTGTGCAAGAAGAACGTCCTATCTGGCACTGTTGACTTGTGTGTAACCTGGATGAGGGAGGGGATGGGGGTAACGATAAAGATCAGTAGATCATGTAACACCTGGCTGGAATGCTCCCCAGGGAGTGGAGATTGTGCACACATTGTGTGCAGGCAAGCACTGAATCCAATGGCCGGGGTAATAGTATATTTGTAAAGCGCTTAGAGACACTTGTATTAAGCGCTATATAAAAATTAAGTTTTATTATTATTAATATTAGTTAAGGTTCAAGAGCCTCATCAAAGCAAATGAAACAGGCATCTAGCTATCTTGATTGTACTAGCTGACAACAGCTCTCTTTTACCCACTTATTACTCCACAACCAAGTTATTTTTATCATTCAAATCAACTTATTGAGTGAAACAGCACTTATGATTTGGCATTCATAACACTTTTTTGATCTAATATTGTTTCTTTTTTAACTTTTTTTTCTTCTCCATTCATTATTCTGGAGTGTTTTTTCTCTTTTCATTTCTTTGTTGCTTTTTATGGGTATTTCATATCACAGTACTCAAATGAGTTGGTGATTAAATATATTTTTCAAGTGATTGTGCATGCACTAGAAACTAATATTTAAAAACTGTAAATAAACGATGATCGATACCATGAATGTAAAGAAATGAAATTAATGATTAGATTTCAATTTTGGGGCGGGATTTTATATACTTTGGCAATGTATACTTTATCACATATGTGGACATCATATACATGTATTTGTGTGCCAAGAACAATCAGTTTCGATTTAATAATAGGGTCCCTTAACAGATCGATACAAATCATTCAAATGCCTGTCAAAAAGAGAAATCACTCAGCAACTACCAAATATATCAAAGGCGAAGGGAAATAACCCTTGATATATCTTGTGAAAAGAATTCCCATGCAGGAAATGGTCAGAGATAGCTCATGTGATGTAAAATATTTCTCCCAAAAACCCCACGCAAACATATGCGTACTGTACGTGGCATTGGCCTACAATTATGCGCTAATTTGACGGAGCAATGGGAATATTGTTGAGGAATTAACCCCCAAATTTTAGAATTTTAAAAATAATTCATGGCATTATGAGTTTGGATAAAACTGGTGATTTTATATCATTTTCAGCTTTATAATTTGTTTGTCCCTTTTAATAGTTATAAAGTTTTTCTTTTCTGTGTTAATGAAGGATATAAATCAAATAAGCCATGCACTGTGACAAGCATTTTCTTCAGGATGTTTCCCTCAGAAAATAGTGCTACACCAGTCACCTCAGAGAGTTCATAACTTCAATGCATGGTATATTTGATTATTGGAAGCCTTCAACATTTTCTCACACTTCATCACGTGGTCTCAAATTGCAACACAATGATGGTTCCCTCGTGGTTTTATTATCCATACCCCTGATTATTTTATTGAAGGACTATTTCCTTCCTCTTTCCTTGTTTGGAAACTTTATCATATCAAATGGAAGTCCCAAACTTAAATGGGGAAGAAGAAAAAAAATGATTTGGTGTCTATCGACAGGAAGTGAGTGTTTCCAGAAACGAGAGAGACTGGGTCGTTTGTGAGATCATTATCAGTTTCTTGTGACTCAAAGGCACATGTACATGTACAAGCATGTCTGGAGGAACTGTAAATAAAATAGATGCTAGTAAATTATATTTATGTATTTTATGTACCTCATGTATACCTGCCAACCTTTCACAAATAAGAGTACAATAAGGATAAAGCTATGCATTTTTGTAGAAGTTTTCAAAAGAAAAAAATGAATCTAAGGTTCATAACATTAGTTTGAAAGCCCCCCCCCCCCCTATATTGGAATCATTCCTTCAACATAAGAATGGTTGGCAGGTACACATCTTTGTTTATATTTGGATAGAATTAGCATCTCTAGAAGGGGGATTTCTGGATAGAAATCTTGCCCAGGAACGACACTTTGAAAGTGCTGCTGGCCTCTTTTCAAAACAAAAGGGAGGTATAGGTATAGGGCGTTTCAGCCCCTCCCCCCCCCCCCCCCCATCACATATCAGTCTTCTTCATCAAATCATTGCTATACAATTCAGTGAGAAGATAATCAATGATGTACATGTATATTGGATTAGTCAATATAGAAACAGGATGTGCGGTACGTGCGCAAGATTCTAAAGTTATTTTCAAACCTTTCCGGATGATGCTAGAGTAGGTCTTACTGTGAGTGATAGGTTCCATGGTAATATTAACCTCTGGAATAATAAGCATTAGATAGCGTGCTGGGTTTAAGCTGATGGAAGGTTTTCCAGAATTTCATCATATTCAACAAATTAATCAATAACACAATTGAAACAAGGAAATGGTGAACAATTTGAAAGCAACTACTTGAGGTGGGGAAAACTTGGTACTTTCTTTAATAAGCAAAGTTCTATTAATATCACAATATAATGTTATAAATTTGGCAGGATCATGTCAAGATCCTACATTATGTGGTCTGGCAATATGGCAACATAACTAAAAAGGCCAAGCTAATGACATATACAAGGACAATTTTTTTATCAGCAGGAAAAGGTGCTAAAGCCCTTTATGATGTCCTTTAGGCTGCTTTACTGTGTATCACTCAAATTTTAGTTACCAGTATTTTCAGACAGCAAAAATCTTGTTTGTCTTAAAAAAATTGAAATAATCAACAGGTTTATAAAATGTGAAAGGTACATACCACAGTATTGTAAAATTATTGAATTGATTTTTAATAGCGTGGTAGGGGTTTAAAATTCATTGAGTATTGGCACATGTATAACTCACTCTTCAATACTTCCAATGGCAACAAGATCCATTTTTGAAAAGATAAATGTTCAATGTTCTAAAATTACCTTTCATACTCTCCTATACTGCTCTGTGTCACACTCCCTACAGCCTGCTGGTGCATTGTTCTCCTCTTTGTCGTTGTCATGGTAACTGATGAGTTTGAGACTGCATAGTGGGTGAAGAAGCCAATGAGAAAGCCCAAAGCGATGGCAAGAAAAACACATGCCACAGCACCGATGATCCATAACAACTTTCTTGAGCAGCAACAAACCTTGGAGTCTGCAAGGTGATAACAATAAGAAACAGATATTAAACATCACTCATTGATGGACAGGGGACAGGGGGGTGAGACATATTAATAGCAGAGCCAAAGACTTGTTCCAGGAACTTTACGCTCTATTCTGTCCAAAGATCTTTGGAAGCGCATAGAGATGTTGTATAATGTGATATGCGCTATACAAGAACCGAATATTATAATTATTATTATTGGATATACGGTTGTGACAAGGTTTCAGGTTAGGTTTAGAAGAAACAAGAACAGGCTATTTGCAATGTATCCTATATCAAACAACACTGAAATGAAGTCTTTTGAAATTCATCAAGGTACATGCAGCAAGGTACATGCAGCTTTGGTGTCACAAAAGACCACAGGTGCATGTATACCAATGGACTGCATCAGGGCAATCAAATCCCATCTTTACCCTATCTTGGATCTACAGTAGCTATATACCATCAATTTGGAATAATTCTTTCTTACCTCTTTTCATGAAATGATTGGACAATACAATATTGATAGTTGATATCTTCTCAGAACTTATTGATCAAGCTCTTTGACTCTTCAGATCGATCAATAACGTTCTGAGAAGATCATTATAGATTTTATCTATCACAAATAAACCATATTCTCACAATCACTTTGTGAAATGAAGTAAAAGAAATGATTCCAACTTTATTGGCAAAAAAGGCATTCTAAGTAAAGATGCCTGATGGGGAAAATAAGAAATGATGGTCGGTCAGATGCATTCCCTGAAACAAAACTTTTTCTTGTTGTACTGTCCCTACAATTCCTAAATTGCCTTATCAATTTTTTATCATTGTTATGTTGAGCTCTGTAATTCAAAAGGTTTCACCTCACCTGTAGATTTCACATGATGTGTATTTCTGTGGTTGGGATTTGAACCTCCGCCCTGCATGAAAGCATCTTCCTCCATTTGTCCATTGTTCCATCTATCCTCTGTCTTTGAATACAGTTTTGGATTGGCTTGAAGCTGCATCGACAGGGCAGCCCTCACCGGTGAATGCTTCGGGGATGACATATCCAGTCTTTAAACGTTGTGATCCTCGGAGTCTTTGACAAAAGTCACAGCACAAAATGTTACTTTTCAATAGGAAAGTAAGATTTCTCCTTTCTTTTAATTCCTTAGGGGGTGACACCTAACTCAATAACTTTAGAACTTGTGAACTCTGAAAAGTCTCGGCAATGTCTCAGTATTTATAAAATGTACCGTTTCTCCTTAACTCTTTGATAGGAAAGTGATATTTCCTGTGTTTATTTATGAAGTTTTTTTCAAGCTCTCTCCAGCTAAACTGCTCTCAAGATTAAACGTTCTTTGAAGAATCTAAGACCAACAAAGTCTTTGACTGGTCACAGCATAACAATTGACTTTCCTCGCTAAGTAGCTCTTGTTGTAAAGAAAAAGTGAGAATTTCTGTGTTCTTTTGATTCCCGGCCTGTTGAGTGTCTGTGGCTCAATAGCTCTCCGTTCTTGTTTACCTTTATTCAGTCACCTTTAAGAAACCTACTGTGAGTCCGTAGTAAACGAGTGGAAGCTAGTAGATGTACTGAAGCAGTACTGCTTCATTTGAAGCTGAAGACAGTCTAGCCTGCCTTTACAAACTGGGGATCTTGTTATGTTAGGCCAAAAGGCTCCTCCAAATACAAAGGTTTTTGTTATTTCTCCCTGAGAACAGTATCCAACGTATCTCATTCAGGACTGACTGATTCTTATCCAGAAGGGTAGACATCAATCAATTAAATTTCTTTCAGAATGTTTCTCTTGTTATTTATTCTCCTAGCTGTAAGTTAGTGGAACGATTGACAGATCTCTTATCTTGAAGTGATCTGAAAGTGAAGAGAGAAGATGCAGCATATAAATTGTTAACTGAGAAAAAAAATCTGCTGAAATTATTATACTATATGGGTCTAAGTATAATAGGAATGTGCACTCAGACCCTCGTGTTTTGTTCCGATACAAATTAAGAAGTAACTGCAAGTTTGGTGGAACACTGTATTGAAGCGAATTAATGAAAACCACACCACAACTCAAAAGCAGAATCACGTGGAACGTATGCCATTAAAAATATACAAAGTTAAGAATACCATTTAAAATATATATTTGTAAGAATTGGACTGCCGGTATATATACATAGAGGTGCAACATATAATCTCATATGTGTAGAGTCAGAAGGTCAATAACTCATGATTTTACATAGACTTACACCCTGTCTGGCTCCTAACAGAAAATATATTAAAGGCACACTGTCCTACTTGTAGCTACTTGCTCCCTCTATATAGAAAACTTCCCAAATTGGTGCCTGTTGGTCCCCCATGATCCTTTTTTTCTTATGTTAAATGAGAGCTGAGTTAATGAGATAGCCACCTGTCACAGTGACCTCGTTGGCTCGCTGTGTGGTCTAATCCCTTCTAGCTGCAGTAGTAACGCCTACCTTTAAAGGGAGGCTTTACTACTTCATTAACATTAACTCAGCTCTCATTTAACATAAGAAAAAGAGGATCATGGGGGACCAACAGGCACCAATTTGGGAAGTTTTCTATATAGAGGGAGCAAGTAGCTACAAGTAGGACAGTGTGCCTTTAAAAAGAGAAAATTACAATGACTGTATGAGAAAAAGAGAAGGGAAGAGAGAGACAGAAATACGGATGGAAAATGAAAAACGAAAAGGAGAGCAAGATGACAGAGAAGAAAGAAAGACAGAGATGAAGGAAAATATACAGTGAGAGAAGTAAAATTACATTAACAAAAATAATACATATATAAAAGAACACAAACAATTAATAGACAGTTAACCTAATGTTAACCTGTCTGAGTTCATAGACCAAGATGAAGTGAGACCAACTCTTTACTATTAAGTATAGACCACAGTATACTGGTAATATCAAATTTCAAAAGTTTTTTAAGGACGAGCTATCTTTTACTTTGAAGTGATTTGTTATTGTGTCCTTAACAAGCCTTTTGCTTTCTATGTCTATAATTTTACATTGGTATGAAACCTTCAATTTCACAGGAATAAATACATTAATTGTAATCTGAATCAAAAAGCAATAGGCTTTCAACAAAATATGTATTTGAATATTATGTAGATTGGTAATTACTTCCAGAAGTAATCAAATCTTCCTTTACAAGGGAAACGCAGATAACATTCCCTTGGTATATATATACAGGTAGGGAATTCATGTGTGGTAGAAGGGTATAATCTATAGCCCACAAGGTTACACCAAATGTTTGAATCATTGTCATTGAAAAACAACTATTTAACTTACAAGGATTGTTTTATCATCAAAGTGGGTATTATATATTTCATGTGAATTAATTTCACAACGAGGGTGGGTATGTTTGCTTTCAAATAGGGAACATCTATAGCCATTTGTAGCCTATACATGTAAATATTTGAACATTCAACTTAAACCATTGACTCCTGGAACCGGGATGCTCCAGTATGAAGCCAATGGGAACTAAACAATTCTGTAGTTTAAGGATTAAAATGACACTTCTTGTAGAATAGGATAATTATCAGCTCTTAGATGCATGTAGTAAACAAACTATCATGATTCAGGAACAACAACAATAATAATAATGATAATACAACTAATATTAACAATGACAATAATCCAACAGTTATATATAATTTCTAACCGTCAGTACTACAGGGTACAGAATACCCTAGAAATACGAAAATAGGGCAGCATACATCAAAAGTCAGTAGTATTTTAACTAAAGAATGAAAAATGGTATTATCCTTTAATAGAGGACCACTGCATGACATGGAAGTCAAAACTGGAGACGTGGGAAAGCTCACTATTTCTGTGATTCCTGCCAGGTTTATGAATCGAGGACCAATCAAGCATGAAATCAGCTTGTTATTATTTGGAGGTACTTCCACTACTCCTTTATTCAAACCATACCAGGCATGAACCTAATATTATCAGTCAACAAAGGTATACCCACACTTATTCCAAGGTTACAAATATCATTGATTGTATTGCGGAACAGGAAATATCGCTTCTTGTATGAAAGTTTGTATACATTTTTAAGTCGGCCAAATCAGACTGACAGTTTAACAAAAAGATATCTGCCCAATACATTTGGCGCTACCTTTGGGGAATGTACATTGTTAAAAGTAAGTTGGAGAGCACCATTGCTTTAAATGTGGATTACAAGTAAACTGGTATAATACAAAATAAAATATGTTGTCAATCAAAATACTGAAACTAAACTTTAATATGACAAATGGTTTTTGAGATATCAAATCGGGGGCACTTTCAAAACTACCAATAATGTAAACAGAAAGAATTACTCATCATATGATCTGTTCAGGCTAAACAAATGTACAGTATAAAGAAACATTTTTATAAGAATCACAGTGAAGAGAGCATATATACAGACTAAAAACTAACATCATATAAAGAAATGTTGTATCAAGAAACATGTAAGTTTAAGGAGGTTAATTGACAAAGTGGCTAATCAACAGCGCATACTCACAATAAGCCCCCCCCCCCCCACAATTACAAGGTATAGTTCAGACGAGAGCAGGACCCTGATACTTTATTGAGTTTTTGTTTTTTGCTGAAACAATGCATTTTGTGTACAACGTTCAACACTAAAAGATAGGTAGTCACATATCATTCATAGCTATAAATAAATTCTGGTCGTCTGAACATGAGGTAAATCCTGAAAACTAGTTAACATGATCACAAGGTTTGGAGATATCAACTCAAGGGTAATTGCATGAGATCCTTTTGCTGATAGGAATCATGTATACACGCATGTTTGTACAGTTAGCAGGTATACACAATGCTTTTGACAATGCCTACAATATACATAGTTGATTCTGAAAATCTTGCAATCTAAATAAAGCTATCAATAGAAGAAAGAAAGATAAGAGAAGTGAGAGAGAAAGAGAGACGGAAAGAGAGAGATAGAGAGAAAGAGAAGAGAGAGAGAAAGAGAAGAGAAGAGAGAGAGAGAGAGAAAGAGAAGAGAGAGAGAAAGAGAAGAGAAGAGAAGAGAGAGAGAGAGAGAGAGAGAGAGAGGTGGATGGCAGAGAAAGAGAGTTAGGTCTCAATCATGTTTGTCATCCACAAGTTCTGATAAAACCCCAAACACTTTTACAAACACAGAAGAGGCCATAAGAAGGCAGGAATTCGGAGGCTTAATTTAGTGTACGTACGTACAGTACATGCAGAAAAATGGCAATTATCATTACCATTACATTACTAGTATTATTATCATTATCAGTTCAATGAAAATTAATTTGAGTGAAATTTGGAAAAGATTAAGAATTATAGTAAGACAAATTTTCTTTCACCCCCCCCCCCCCCCAGCATATAAAGTAGGTCTAATTCCTCTATTTGCCAATAAAATACAAAATCCTCATTTGTTCCAATTAACACACTAAATGAATGATACTTCAACTTTTCAAAATGACTCGGTAGATCATCACTCATTTAGGATATTTCTTGTCTTGGATGTCTTATCATGTCAATTTTACTCATAGTATATCAATTAGGCCTATATGCTATCCATATATCATTGAAAAAAGATATAGAAAATAAGAAATACACGGGAAAAGGAGATATATATAAAAATATAATAGATTTATACACATGCAGATGCAGATCAACTCACATGCACTCATGCACAGAGCTATATTATGATATTCATAACAGAAAAATTGCAAATTTGTCAATTCTCATCTATCAACAACATTATCATTTTCTTATTTCTATCAAACTCTCACTATCCCCTTCTATGTGCTGCTTTCACATAGACTCTATCACCGAACTCAACTGACAAAAATCACATTATCAGGAAGGAAGCGTCCCTAGATCAAAGCCACACGGCCGCGAGTAGACAGAAATAACCGTCTGATTTGGGTCATTTCTTTAATAAAACTGACATTTGTTGACATTCTATAATCGGAGGTCTAGTGGAGCCAGACGTAGTCTCAGTGGAACAACCGACGATTTATAGAGAGACTGAAGTTTTCGGTCTAGGCCGCGAGATGCTCTGCCACAACTGTAGGCCCATTAATCATGTAAACGATACAAGACTTCGCACCTTTTCTCCTCGCACACACAACCTCATCATCATCAACTCACTCACAAATTGATTACCGTTAACCTAAAAGCTATGTAATATTACGGAGATTCACATCCAGTATACTTACCCGAACTTCAGTCTGGACAAAGCCAAAGGTATGCGTTGTTTGAATTCAAGTAAACTGTTTGGTAATTTCGCAAGGCATTTCGCCAGGATTATCAGTTGTGCACAGACTGTTGGCACTGCATGCACTGTGCTGTATATGCTGCACTAGGTTAGCAGACGACAAGACAACGTATACGGCACTCGCAGGACGCACATGCACGCACGTTTGCTCGGCACAGTAGCACGATAATCTGCGTTACGTAATGTAAGACGTCATTCACAACAAGCTGCTTTATTATAGGGGAACCCCATTATTACGCTTTGAGTCATTGTTCCCATTCAAGTCAACCGTAAAACAATTGTGGTAGCTCAATGTACTGCTCTGGTAAACTTTCTAGGCTTCAATATGACGTTCACTATTGTATATGGCATTTCCTTGATATTTATAGCAAACAAACAACATTAGTCATGAATGAATCGGCATAAGGTCACCAAATTGCGGTGAGCGAGTAAACTCAAAATCATCCAAAGGGTCATCTTAATCAGCGGCTATAGAAGAAAAGAAAACATCACTCCAATAAAAAAGGAACCAAATGAGAGGTGGAGTGGGGAACGCGGAACTAAGCCCTATCCGGGAAAACGAAACATTATTATATCCATATATGGATATATGGCTTTCACTGTATAGACCAATGCCCTTTCATTTATTTATAGGGCCTATTGAATTTTAAGGGGACTTTAATAATAATAGGATATTTCTAATTATAATGGTATGTTTATTCGAAACCTGTACCACAAAGTCAGGGGCGGTAGAGTGACTTCCAAAGTGTGGGGGGCCGGCGGGGGGGGGGGGGCAACAAAAAGGGCGCTTACTGGAAAAAAGGGCACCTACCATAGAAAAACTTAAAGCGAAAATATACATACTTTTAGACATTGGTATATACTACCCCTACATTGTGATTACATTATCAGGGATGATTTCAATATTTCTCTTTTTTCTCTTTATACATCATACATGGTTTAGTTAGCATCATACTTGGGTGTGATGGCCCGACAATTCATGAGCGAGCGATTTGCAGTGCGAAAAATGACATCTTATAAAGAGGAAAAAAACAATTCTGATGGGGTTATAAGCACATTCTCATAACGGAAGACTGAAAAGACCTATCGGGGAAATTGCTCCGTTAGTCGCTTGAAATTAGGGGCGCTTTTAATGATGAGAGGAGGAGGTGAAACTTATCAAAAGGGATAAGACACTAAGAAAAGTAAAGCACAGTGCAAGTAGAAAGGTTAATTATGAGAGGCAAAAAGAGGCACTTAGGCCTACCAGGGATGAAAAAGTCACTTATGAGAATGAACAGGGGCACTTATAATACAGAAAAATGTGCATTAGTTGAACTTAAGGGCACTTATGGGAATGGAAAATGGACAATTATTGTAAAGGAAAATCGGAACTTGTTGAAGGAAAAGGGGCACGTGTCAAAATAAAAGGGACGCTTATCAGAGGTGAAAAGGGGAAGGGGCACTTTCACAAATTAGTTAAGGCACTTGTCAAAGTAAAAGGGGCACATTTCCTATGTTAAAAAGGGTACTTTTGGAATACTTGAGGGCCGCCTCTGCACAAAGTTACACGAATGTTTACAGATTTTCCGTACAACACATTGTTTCTCCCAAGTTCCGGTCGTCTCGCTATCCTTCTGGCTGAAGAAAGAAGGATAGGCGAGAGATGAGGCCGGATGATAAAAATACTTATGAGTAATGATTGAAATAGATAAATGGGATCGGGAAAAGAACGGGAAGCGTATGAAGAGACGTGATTAACAGGCACGTAGCCAGAATTTGATGTTTAGGGGGGGGGCGCACATACATGTAATCAGCGCTCAAAATACACGGGGGCGATGGGCGATTCGCCCCCGTGAGCTCCATAATCGCCCCCATCAGGTTGTCCACGGGGGCGATTGCAAAATTAAATATCGCCCCCGTGGAATTATAAAATAAAGATTTTCAGCGAATTGAATAATATTGAAAAGGATGCAATTCATAGTTGTTCTCGATAATTCTCACTTAACATATTCTCTCTCTCTCTCTCTCCCTGTCTTGCATAAAGAAAATATGAAAAAAATATTTTGCTTGAAAATTTTATCAGTATTAAACAGGGAAAGGGAAAGGGGAGGAAATTAATCAAAACAAACATTGAAGAATCCAATTCAGTGTTCTTTCGTGATGTATAAGAATGAAAGTACATTAAAAGGTGAAAAAATAAATTGGAGAGCGATTATGAATCACTTCTTTGACGTTGATTGATTGAATAAAAAATAATGAAACAATATGGTCTGAGGGTCATATATCTTCCAATATTAGAAAGTTTCATCCACCATCGTGTTGTTGAACACGATTTGCAATTTAATTTTAATGCGGTGACGTGTCGTTTACGAGCAGAAGGTCATATCAGGCTTCTATATTCTATAATACTATCAACAGATATCTGGATAGAGACACTTCGTCACATCAAGCTACGAGAAAGTATATCATCATCTCACAGAATTCTACTCGAACACCGCATCGAAATTCTTTTCACCCTTTTTTTTCTTCTTCCTCTTTTTTGGTCCCTTTTAGCTCTCCCTTTTCCCTTTCCTTCCTTCTCTCTCTCTTTTTTTTTAGCGGAGGCGGGGGAGGCAAAGGCCTTTTGCCCCTCCCCCATCCGCAACTTGTTGGCGGGAAAATTGCAAGTGATATCCCTCTTCTTTTCTTTACTTCTTCCTCAATTTTCCTTCCCTTTTTCTCCTGTTTTCCTTTTTTCTTTCCATTTCCTTCCTTCCTTCTCTCTTATTTTGTTTTATTGGGGGGAGGTAACAGCCTGGGAGGCAAGGCCCTTTCGCCCCCCCCCCCCGATCTTCTTCTTCCCCCCTTTTCTTTTCTTCTTCCTCTTCTTTCTTTCCCTTTCTCTCCTCTTTCCCTTTCCCTCTTTTCCTTCTCTCTCCCTCTCTCTCTCTCTCTCTCTCTCTCTCTCTCTCTCTCTCTTTTGCGGAAGGGGGGGGGGGGGGGGCAAGGCCCGCTCACCCCCGCTGGATCCGCGCCTGCATCTACCTTATATCTACTAACGTTAGACCCTAATAATGGATCTAGAAGATTGATTGACCTGGTCTTAGTGACGGGTGAACTTTTTTGTTCTCAATTACTTGGTCTAACCATGAAAACCGTCTAATTTTACTTTAGATTTTCAAACAGTAACAGTTACGACCTAAATTAGGCCTAAGGCCAGGGGCGTCGCCAAAGGGGGGGTGTGGGGGGTGCGACACCCCCCCCCCCCCCCACCTGTCAGGATATTGTCGGTAAAATTGCGCTGCCGTCGGGAAAAAGAGAAAAGGGGGAGGGGAAAAAAGAGAGGGAAAAAAAGAGAGGGAAAAAAAGAGAGGGAAAAAAGAGAGGGAAAAGAGAGGGGGAAAGGGAAAGAAAAGAAAAAAAGAAAAGAAAAAGAAAAAAAAGAAAGGAAAAGAAAGGAAAGAAAGGAAAAGAAATGAAAGAAAAGAGAAGAAAGAAAGAGAAAAAAGAAAAAGAGGGAGGAGAGGAAAGAAAGGAAAAGAAAGAAAAGAAAAAAAAAGAAAAAAAAAGAGTGAAAGGGAAACAAAAGAAACGGGGGATGAAAGAGAGGAGAGAGAGGGGAGGTAAGAGTCTGAGAGAGGAGGAGTGGGAGTAAAAGAGAGAAGGGGGTTGTTGGGTGGAGTCGTCTCGTCGAGGGAGCAAGAAAGACACGGGTACATATGTTGCTGTGTCGGGTCAGCTGTGTCGGTATTCTTGCTCGATCCTCGTGTACTATATGCAGAAGTTTGAAGTCGGTGAGATGTATATTGTCGGTCGGCGACGACAAGTTCTTTTCCCTACGAACTGTGACTTCTTATCCGCTGTGACGACTTCGAGAGTGACTACAACTACAATACTTGTATTTTCTCGAAGTTTCACTTTCCTATAATATCAGCTAAAGAAATCAGAGGTTTAACATTTTCGGGGAAACTAAATTCAAACAAGGTTTAAGAGTGAACAACGGTACGACGAATCGTCTTCCTTTCTTTATATTGTGATGAAACGCCAAAAATTACGCGCTTCGCGCGGAAGGGGAAACTTCATTTAGACGAGTCGAGAACGGTACAACGAATCGTCTTCTTTCTCTAATAATTTAAGGAAACGTCAAAGCTTCCGCGCTTCGCGCGAGAGTGGGAAACTGAATTCAGACAAATAGGGCTTATTAAAAGTCGAAAACGGTACAATGAATCGTGTTCTTTCTCTAATAATTTGAGGAAACGTCAAAGCTTTCGCGCTTCGCGCGAGAGGGGGAAACTGAATTCAGATGAATAGGGCTTAATAAGATTCGAAAACGGTACGATGAATCGTCTTCCTTTCTCTATATTGTGATGAAACGCCAAAAATTCCGCGCTTCGCGCGGAAGGGGAAAACTTCATTTAGACGAGTCGAGAACGGTACAACGAATCGTCTTCTTTCTCTAATAATTTAAGGAAACGTCAAAGCTACCGCGCTTCGCGCGAGCGGGGAAAACTGAATTCAGACAAAATTAATAGGGCTTATTTAGAGTCGAAAACGGTACAACGAATCGTGTTCTTTCTCTAATAATATGAGGAAACGTCAAAGCCCCTATTAGGGGAAACTGAATTCAGATGAATAGGCTTAATAAGAGTCGTAAACGGTACGATGAATCGTCTTCCTTTCTCTTTATTGTTATGAAACGCCAAAAATTCCGCGCTTCGCGCGGAAGGGGAAGACTTCATTTAGACGAGTCGAGAACGGTACAACGAATCGTCTTCTTTCTCTAATAATTTAAGGAAACGTCAAAGCTATCGCGCTTCGCGCGAGAGGGGGAAACTGAATTCAGATGAATAGGGCTTATTAAGAGTCGACAACGGTACGACGAATCGTCTTCTTTCTCTAATAATTTAATGAAACGTCAAAACTTTCGCGCTTCGCGCGAGGGGGGGGGGGGAGCTTCATTCAGATAAGGATTAAGAGTCGAGAACAGTATACCGAATCGTCTGATTTTTCTCATAATTTAATGAAACATCAAAGCTTCCGCGCTTCGCGCGGGAGGGGGAGAAACTGAATTCAGACAAGGATTAAGAGTTGAGAACAGTACACCGAATCGTCTGCTTTTTCTCATAATTTAATGAAACGTCAAAGCTTCCGCG